AATATCTTGAGAGACTTTTCTTCTGATTCAGTGCAGGCTTTAGATGACGCTAACACATCAGCCTCGCAAACCGCAGCTCTGCAGAAGAAATGGGACAACATATGCCAAAGTATCCATCATACTCCGGCAATTCCTAAACTCGGTTTTCAGTCAGTGAGTTCGCAGTTCCCAGTTCAGACAGAGAAGAGTGTGAGAACTCCTACAAGCTTTTTGGAGACGTCTAAACTGCTGAATCCGCCAATCTCAAAGCCAAAACCTATGGAGGATCTCACGACATCAGTGACTAACCGCACAGTGAGTTCGCCTTTGAGCTGTGTCACTACAGATTTTGGGTTGGGAGTAATCTATGCATCAAAAAACCAGGAATCAAAAACAGCGAGGGAGAAACCGTTGCTGGTGACTCTAAACTCTTCTTTAGAACATACATATCAGAAAGATTTCAAGTCTCTCAGAGAATTACTCTCTCGTAAAGTTGCCTGGCAAACCGAAGCTGTGAATGCCATAAGCCAAATTATCTGCGGTTGCAAAACCGACTCCACGAGAAGAAATCAAGCAAGCGGAATTTGGCTGGCTCTTCTTGGACCCGATAAAGTCGGGAAGAAGAAAGTGGCGATGGCTCTTTCTGAAGTCTTCTTTGGTGGTCAGGTCAATTGCATATGTGTAGATTTTGGGGCAGAGCATTGTTTTCTTGATGACAAATTCAGAGGCAAAACAGTGGTTGATTACATAACCGCTGAGTTATCAAGGAAACCACACTCTGTTGTTTTACTAGAAAACGTGGAAAAAGCTGATTTCCCGGATCAGATGAGATTGTCTGAAGCTGTGAGTACCGGGAAAATTCGTGATTCGCATGGAAGAGTGATCAGTATGAAAAATGTGATTGTTGTTGCGACGTCTGGGATTGCCAAGGATAATGCTACTGACCATGTTACTAAACCTGTGAAATTTCCTGAGGATCAAGTTCTCAGTGCGAGAAGCTGGAAACTGCAGATAAAGCTGGGAGATTCAACTAAAATTGGGGTAAATAAGAGAAAACATGAGCTAGAAACAGAGCAACGTGCAGTGAAGGTGCAACGTTCATATCTGGATCTGAACCTTCCAGTGAATGAAACAGAAGTTAGCCTCGATCATGAGACAGAGGACAGTAATACTTGGTTCGATGATTTCATTGAACAAGTAGATGGAAAAGTGACGTTCAAACCAGTTGATTTCGATGGGTTAGCCAAGAACATTCAAGAGAAGATCAGTTCACATTTTGAGCGGTGCTTTGGATCGGAAACACATCTAGAGCTTGATCAAGAAGTGATCATTCAGATTCTGGCGGCTTCATGGTCATCATTATCATCGGACGAAGAAGAAGGGAAAACAGTTGATCAGTGGATGCAAACCGTCCTTGCTCCAAGCTTTGCTGAAGCAAAACAGAAGTACGGTTCGAATCCTATGTTGGCCGTGAAGCTGGTTGCTTCTTCTAGCGGTTTAGCTTCCGGAATAGAGTTGCCGGCGAAGGTGGATGTGATGTGATCACACGCATATATATAAATGAGGTAATAATAAAGAGTTATAATCCTCAGATTGTTTTGGTCATGGAAAGTTTTTTGCTTGTGTAAATTACAATGTAAAATGGCTGAGCTAGCACTTGGTACATAGGTATGTTTAGGAGTACCAATTTGCCACAGCTTTTTTGGCATTTTGAGTTTAGGTATTTCTCCTAAAATTTTCCCAACTTCCGATTTAGATGAATTAAACCATCTTCTCTGTAACCAAGTTTGTTGTATATTATGTTTGTCGAAATATAGAACTCTATATGTAACATGTAACTGTAAGCCTTAACTTTTCGTTTATGTTGGATCAAATAAATGCAGTGTTGTTTTGTTGTTTTTAGATGGAATCTTTTCGGAGAAAAAAAACCAACCATCTATAATAATATGATAAAAAATACTTGGTTGATTTTAAAAAACTTTGTCAACCCTTCCATTATTCGGTATTTTACATCAGTCAAACTAGATGATTCAATTTCAAAGTCGAAAGAACAAAAGTCAATACCCTGTCTTTCTAAAATGCTGAATTGACCTCATTGAATTGTTCCAAGTAAACGACAACTGATTAGAGGTCATAAAGTGAACAAGAGAGATAGAGAAGAAGCACGTAGCGAAGTGGAAGAGATTTGGATCAGATTCGGCTAATGTCACGACCAAAGACAAAAGTAGTGAGCCAATTGATAGCAACATAGAAACGGTTTCTCCAGCTGACAACTCGAGTCAGATAAGCAGACCTCCATATGAACCAGCTCACAAACCCCGCCATAGATATTCCTTTTCCTTCCTGTCCAAGAAAACTCCCTCCTCCAAGTTAGCTACTTATTTTGTATTTTGAGGCATTCGAAGTGAATAGTGAATGAGAGCTTGCTTTTTAACATACCTTACTCTCACGGAGATCAACGAGAGCTTTGTATCTCCCAATAGTAGCCATACTTCCCAGATGTTTATACACAAATGGTTCTCCAAGTTCCATTTCCTTTGCGCTATTGGCTCGTCCTCCTCCAGCTTTTCCCATCACGTTAAACAGATTTGCCAAGTATTTGCCTTCTCTCTCAGCCACCTTCATCGATCAGAGACTTGTTAGGTTAAGACTCCACCGAAACAAAAAAAAAAAGAGATTATTACAACATTTATATAGATTGATGAGAGAGACTTGTGCAAGAGCAGGAAGTGTTGATTTCCCTGTGCTCTCGAGATATCCGCTACAGTCACCAATCGCAAACACATCTTGTACAGAAGGTACACGCATCCACTCATCAATACCAATCCTATGGGAACAGAGTGATCCAAGATCAGAAACTGTTCAACATTCATTTTTTGGAGGGGAAAAAACAGAACAAGTTTTTTGTCGTGATAGTGGAACTAACTGACCTTCCACCTGGATCTTTTGGAAAATCAAGAGACCTCACAAATGAAGATGGACCAACACCAGTTGACCAGACTAAGAGACCGTAAGGAACTTCAGTACCATCATCAAGAATTAGCTTCTGAGGCTTCACTTCTTTCACAATTCCACGCACAAGCTTCACTCCAGACTGAAGTCAAAACTAACAGATTTTCAACATCCAAATTCTATCAATTTAAAGCAAATAAATTTTGCATATAGATGAGCTATATTAACCTTGTTTAACTGCTTGATTGCATATTGCCTTAGCCGATCGTCAAAAGAAGAAAGTATATCCCTTGCCTGGAAAGAAACAGTACTGATCAAAATTTCATATTTTATGAAAAAAGTGATCATATATAAAGTACTTTTGATCAATGTTAAAAGTCATAAGCAAAAAAAACCTCGATCAAAGTAACACGAATGTCGTCTTTCACATGAGCATATCTCTGGCGAACATCTTTCATGATGAAATCACTCAATTCACCACTAAACTCAACACCAGTAGGCCCACCTCCAACCACAACACAATGCAACAACCTCTTCTTCTCATCTTCGGATATGCCTAATATATAATTTTCGTGTAATGACTTTAGTTTTGGTTCAAAGGTAAATAAGTGGTGAAAAATGTGTTGTTTATACCTGGAACTTCAGACAGCATGAGGTTAAGAAGAAGCTTCCTACGAATTTCTTGAGCGTGGTGAACCTCACGGAGGAAGATGGCGTTTTCTAAGACGCCATTAATTCCAAATGTGGATGCTTCTGCACCACAAGCTAGTACCAGTTTGTCGTAAGCTATCTTGAACTTCCATGGCTTCAATGTGCTAGAGCCCTCAGTTACAGTCTCACAATGCACCTGATTAAAACCAAGGGCATGACTCACACATATCATATAAAACAGTCCAAATCACATTGCTTTTCCAAACACAAAAGTCGCGTTTGCGTTTACCATTTGGAAACTTTCTTAAGAAATCGAAATTAAAAAAAAAAATCAATATCTTTTGATATACATAGACCTAAATGTAAACGCAAAATTTGCGTTTGAAACAATGTCCAAACGAATCTTCTAAATTTCACAAATTTTGTAGAAAAATCCAAAATAAATATATCTACATGAAATTTTCCCCAATTTCAAGAACTTCACCAATATTAAACCGTTTCCGAGCTTAAAAAAGACGCAGCATTTAACAAGAAATCAAATATCCAATTAGCAATTACCTCATGATTATCAGCATCAAGTTTAGAGCAATTAGCGAGGAAGTAATAAGAACCGGGTTCTCGTGAAATCGCCGGTTGGATACGAGAGATTGGTTCAGCAACAGACCTAAACTCAAGCGTACCAACGCAAGTAGAAGCCAAGAGAGGAGTGAAGACCATGTGGTTCCTAGGAGAGACGCAAACGACGTCGTAAATGCTCGTATCGATCCCTTTCATAAGCCGACAACCCGCCCAACCTGACCCGAGAACCAGAACCCTCGGCTTCTCACCCTCTTTTGTCGGAGCCAAACCGTCGTAACGCTGTGGCTCCAACCCATTAACTACATCCTTTGCTTGAACCGTCTCGATCTCTGGTTGCTTTTGGAGAGCGGTGCAGAAACGGGACGAGAGAGTGTAGGATTCGGGGTTTCTGAACACGTTTCCGACCGACGAAGAAGTGGTCTGCGAGATTCTTACTAGGTTTTTGATCCAAAACATGATTTCGTTAGTTCTTGAATCGACAAGAAAATAATGTTATTATTGCTCCTAACCTAATGTGGTTAAGAGAATCGAACAAACTCTGCTACGAGCCGCCTTTGGTATGCTGTATTCACTGAATATACGTATGAGAAAAACCTACGTGCCAGATTAGGAAATGACAGGTGGCACTCTGATTCTCTTTCTCCCAGAATAAATGGAAAATTTCAGTCTTTGTACAGAGGATAATAACTCTTGAGAATTTCTTTTTGGTAGCCACAGAAATATTTAAATGTTTAACAAAACAATTTTCAGTGTATGTGGAAAAAAAAAAAAAAATCGAAATAAGTTAAAGGTGTTGAAACTTCTAACAAGAAGAAACGTCAGCAGAACTTGATGCGCAAGAAACGACAATAAAAAACATGTGATTCACTAAGACTGATGTGGGCCGCAAGAAAAGGATGTCAGAGACTCAGAGTATTCGCTGACCGTGATTGGTTGTATTGCGATGAGTGACGTATTCAGCGATCGGCGGCCCAAAGCCTAAGTCACCGATAGTTTATGGCCCAATAGCCCGTTTATATACATGATTTATATATTGGGTTTATGGCCCAAAACTGGTTACATATTGACACCGAGATATGCTGCGTTTACTCAAAGACCTTGGATTTCTCTAGAAATCGTCTCAACTCTCAACATCAGTGTTTATTCTCCTTTGGGTTTTCTCTTGTTCTTACTTCCGGTTCTCTTTCTCTAGATCTACAGATTTTCTGTGTGATTTTCAATGGCTGGAACTGCAGAGAAACCAATTTTAAAGCTGACACTTTGTGTCGACCCAGAAAAGAACAAGGTTGTCTTTGCTGACGTAGGCAAAGATTTTGTTGATGTGCTTTTTGGTTTTCTGGCGCTGCCAATGGGTACCATTGTGCGATTGCTTGAGAAATATAAGCAGAATCAACCTCCAATAGGTTGTTTCAATAATCTCTACAAAAGTGTTCTTGATATGGACAAAGATGATTTCATAACGGAAGCTTCTAAGGGTATGCTCTTGTATCCGAGGCACGTGAAAGAGAAGCAATGCAAACGGCTTAAGCTCAACATAGATGATGATATGTGCAATTTGATGACGGAGGAGTTTAAAGTACCTGAAGGTGGTTGTGATGAATTATTTGTCACCCCGAAGAGCGCTTTCATCATTACCGAAAATATGGATGAAGTAAAACATGCATCTATTATTCTCGCCAGGAGGACACTTCTAAGACTCGGTTATAATGATTTATCTATGTTGAAGTTCATGTCTGTAGATGTTAATCACGAAGAGGTAAATACATGTGTGGAATTGCTATTACATGCCACTGATTTTTTCCTTGTATGCTCTCCGATTTATGAAATTTTGGATACAGGCTATATCTCTTCTCCATTGCTTGTTTTCTTCGGAAACACCTTTCACTGATGTCTTCTTGAATAAGCATATCTCTTGCGGTATGACAAGGTTGCATGACATGCCAACTCTACCCGTGCAAGATGGAGGTCATGAAGCTGAAGCTGGATCAGATGGAGTTTTGTCACTCACTGTATTTGTTAGCTAGGAAGCCGGACATGAAAGTTCTTTATGCTGAAGGTGGGCAAGACTTTGTCGATCTACTTTTCATTTTCCTGGCTATCCCTTTGGAGTCTGTATGGGAAATAACCGGAGGCAATAATGTCGAGCTAGGATGCATTGGCAACTTTGGAGAAACATGAAGAGCTTGAGCTCTAGCGGAGGCACAAATAGTATGCTTCCTCAGCATTATGGTTTCCACAAATCGCTAATTGGTGTCGGTTACGAAAGGAATAAGTTGGACGTGGACGTAGATGATGTTGAGGTACATGCAATCAACGTACGCGTGCATGTTTGTATCTTTCCTGATATATTTTGTTCTGAACAGATTAATTTTAATGAATCTGACACTAATGCAGGCTATCAGTCTGTTGAGTGCAATGAATACAAAATCTGACTTGGTTGCTGAACACACGTTACCGGTCAGTAGTGGGTTTGTGAAGAGAGGGTCAACATTCATGATCTCAGATGATCTTATTGTAACAGCTTCAAACTTGTCTTCGACCCTTGGCTTACTAAAGAAGTTGGACACAGACTTGGATGATATCGAGGAACAAGTTATTAGTATCACTGGAGCAGAGGTTTGTTTTTTTTCTTCTCTTTTCTTATTTTCTTCTGAATGTTCACCAAAAACAAAGATTTTCACAATTCTCTCCTGTTTTCAGTTAATTCTTTGAGTCTTATTGTAATGCAGGCTATCAATTTATTGAAAGCTTCATTGGTGACATCCACTCCCTTGACCACTGCTCTCGGGAGCTTACTTCTAAAGAAGCCTAAAGTGGAGAGCCTTTAAGACATCAAGGACTTTTTTGGGCAGTTTGATCTTGCAGACATGCTTTAGTTTCTTGTAACCGTTGGTTCAGTTTCGGATTCTTTTCTCTCTATAGTTTCTCAGACGAATTTAAGGCATTTTTTATGCTACCTAAGTATTTTCTGGTTTTCAGTTTCCATATGCATTCGTTTAATAACAGTTCTAGAATCACATTGAAATTATCGGGTTTTTTTTTTTTTTTTCTCTTTCTGGGAAATATATATTAGAATGATAGAGAACCAATTACATCACAATCTTGAAAACATCAAGATGGTTTGTTTTCAGCTTAACCGAGATAAGCTTGCTTTTTCGGGTTTTTCCCTGGAGGGCTTAAAATTAACGATTTTTGGATACACCTATACAGATTTATGTGAATATACTAATCCTAAAGATGAACAGTTTCACAAAGTTTCTTCAGAATCCATTAGAAAACTTAATAACTGGCAGTGTGTATGTAGAATATAGCATACACAATTGATATGAGGGAACAAGGCAAAGACAATTGAAACATAATTTGCTCGTCTTTTTTTCTGTTTTTTTTTGGAATAACTAAGAGGTTATGGGCCTAGGGACCAAAGTATGGTCCCCTCCCAAGCCTCAAAAAGAAGATAAAGCAAGCGGAGGAAACGAGAGTTGTTGATATGACCGGAGTTTCACCTGTCTGTCTTGATGTCTTATATACGCAGATCTTCCTGCACTACATTAGTGTTCTGAGTTACTGTTGTGCTGGCTGCTTCTGTATGAGTAATTTTTTCTCCTCTCTCAAACTTCTCAACTAACGAGCGTGTCCTGCCTGAGACAACTTCTACTGCAAACATATCAATTTATAAGGAAACTGTAGCCAGCCAACTTGAATGTTAAGAAGAAAAAACAAGGACAGGGAGAGTTTTGGATTCCTAACCTCAATTTTATACCGGTCAATTACTAATTGATCATTGTCTCAAAACCAAGTACGTGAACAACCACAACAGACTACAGAATTTGAAACAAGTTCTAAACAGTAGCTAAAGATTTAAATTGTAGCAATCTACACGCTACTGTTAAGACTTTTCTGCCGTTTTATTTATTCTTCTCTAAGATTTGGTAACTAGATATAGTCTAGTAGCTCTTCCAAATAGATGTCTTTTTGTTTGTGCACAAAAAAAAAAAAGAAAAAAAAAGAAAAAAAAGATGTCTTTTTGTTTTTGCGTCCAATTATATAAATAGGCAATATTTGGCCTTAATTTCCTTTTTGTTTTATTTTTAAAAGAAATTTCCTTTTCTTTCAGTAATAACCTTTCATTATAAATATTTAAGAATCGCAGTCATAATCTCTTCTTAAGAATCGCAGTTGTCATTCGTCGAAGAGCAAAACCCTAAAGTTCTCTTTCTTTCTTCTTCTTCTTCCTCTTCTTCTTCTTCTTTTAAAAACTTGAGTTTCTTCTCAAGCAAGTTATGTCGATTGAAGCCGTCATGAATCTCGTTCTCGTATCTCTTCGGATTTTTCTCCGACCAAGTTTTAGTCGATTATTAGAGAGGGCAAGGAGATGTTAGTTTAAAGGTGAATCTGGGATTATAAGTTAGGGATTTAGGGTTACGGTGATGAAGTTGTGGCCGATATATGAGAGAACACGACGGAAATTGACAACGATCGAGATGGAGGAAAATACTTCGTCGGAGATTATTTGTGATGATGTCACACCACACAACGGCTATTTTGGATGATGTCATACAAGGGCTATTTTAGAATTTGGTTGAGTATGGAGAACAAATGACTACGGTGAAGATTTCGTGAGATGACTGAGAGAAAACGCCTTGGAGAGGTATCAGATAAGAAAAAGAGTCTCGCGTTACATCAATTCCAGTACGATTTCAGGTGAATTTCCTTTCCCTTTTAAAATCAAAATTAAGTTTTAAAATTTTTACTTTTTTTTAATGGCTTTAAATTTTTTACGAGTTTTGTTTTTGTTTTAGACTAGATTTACAAAATGATATGAAAAACTAACCGGACTTTGGATCCCGTCATTTGACATAGTCATTTGATCGTTAGTGATTTCACAAGTTCAATTTGTTTTCTAATCGTTACGTAAATCTAGCATTTTTGTTTTTTTTTTTTTTGTTTTTTTTTTGTTTTAGTCTAGATTTACATAATGATATGAAAAATTAACCGGACTTTGGATCCCGTCATTTGACCTAGTCATTTGATCGTTAGCGATTTCACAAGTTCAATTTGTTTTCTAATCGCTATGTAAATTTAGCATTTTTGTTTTTTGTTTTTGTTTTTTTTTTAATTTTTTTTTTTGTTTAGTCTAGATTTACAAAACGATATGAAAAACTAATCGGACTTTGGATCCCGTCATATGACCTAGTCATTTGATCGTTAGCGATTTCACAAGTTCAATTTGTTTTTTAATCGTTATGTAAATTTAGCATTTTTGTTTTTTTTTTTATTTTTGTTTTTTTTTTTTTTTAGTCTAGATTTACATAATGATATGAAAAATTAACCGGACTTTGGATCCCATCATTTGACCTACTCATTTGATCGTTAGCGATTTCACAAGTTCAATTTGTTTTCTAATCGTTATGTAAATTTAGCATTTTTGTTTTTTTTTTTGTTTTTTTTTTGTTTTAGTCTAGATTTACATAATGATATGAAAAATTAACCGGACTTTGGATCCCGTCATTTGACTTAGTCATTTGATCGTTAGCGATTTCACAAGTTCAATTTGTTTTCTAATCGTTATGCAAATTTAGCATTTTTGTTTTTTTTTTTGTTTTTTTTTTGTTTTTTTTGTTTTAGTCTAGATTTACATAATGATATGAAAAATTAACCGGACTTTGGATCCCGTCATTTGACTTAGTCATTTGATCGTTAGCGATTTCACAAGTTCAATTTGTTTTCTAATCGTTATGCAAATTTAGCATTTTTTTTTTGTTTTTTGTTTTAGTTATTTACAAAACGATATGAAAAACTAACCGGACTTTGGATCCCGTCATTTGACCTAGTCATTTGATCGTTAGCGATTTCACAAGTTCAATTTGTTTTCTATTCGTTATGTAAATTTAGCATTTTTTTTTTGTTTTTTTGTTTTTTTGTTTTTTTTTGTTTTAGTCTAGATTTTCAAAACGATATGAAAAACTAACCGGACTTTGGATCCCGTCATTTGACCTAATCATTTGATCGTTAACGATTTCACAAGTGCAGTTTGTTTTCTAATCGTTATGTAAATATAGCATTTTTTTTTTAGTCTAGATTTACAAAACAATATGAAAAACTAACCGGACTTTGGATCCCTTCATTTGATCTAGTCATTTGATCGTTAGCCATTTCACAAGTTCAATTTGTTTTTTAATCGTTATGTAAATTTAGCATTTAATCGTTATGTAAATTTAGCATTTTTGTTTTTTTTGTTTCAATTGGTAATCATAATTTAGGATTAGAATGAGAAGGAATGTGATATTCCTCTTTGTTCCTCAATATTTTTACTATTTACAAGTAATATTTTTTCTACATCATTCCTCTACATTCCTCACCAAAAGAGGAACACTAGAATAAAAGTGTTCATCTCCAAAATTGTCGAGGAACCAAATATATAAAACAAAAAAAACAAATATTTATGTTTAAAGTAAATATTAAAATAAATATATGGCCCAATAGCCCGTTTCTATAGATGATTTATTATATTTTGCGTTTATGGCCCAAAATGGGTCATATCATATGATTATAGTATTATACGACATAAGATGTGCGTTTACTCAAAGACCTCGAATTTTCTCTTGTTTGAAATTGTGATGATATTGGAAGTTACTTAGATCATATTTATCGGAATAACTTATTTGGGTGTTTTTAGGGTTAATTAAGTATTAAAATAATGTAGATAGAAGAACAGTTCTTGGATGGCGAGAAGAACATGTCTAAACAGTTATTGGGTGTTCTAAGACCATTTTCTTTTATTTTATTATTTTTTTAATGGTAAGGACATGAGATAAGTTATCCCCTTGCATATGTCCTTAGGGTGATTTGCAAAAGTGACGCTTTTGGCAGGTAGAATTAAATATATAGCACCACAAAGTTGGAAATGAAGTCCGTAGCATTTGAGGTACTTGAAAAGACTATAAACTGCTTCTCATTCGTCAGGATGGAAATGAGAGGCACGTGAAGATGGCTGACAAAGTTGAGAAATAGGATGACGTGGACTTCAAACAAAGTTGAGAAATGAGAGGCGCGTAGACTTCAAACAGAGGCTAGAGTTGTCTTTATTACATAAAATATACACAACTAGATAAGGATCCGTCCGATGGACGGGTTTATTTTTTAAAAAAAATTAAAATCAAATTTAACAAAAAATTAATTAACAACGTTGTAAGTACAAATTTTCTTTCAAAAGTAAAAACAATATTTACTTTTTCACTGTTGCCTTGTTTCTTTAACCACTAAAATTATTAATTCAAAATTATTTCGAATGAAAAATATATCACATAACAATAATTCATGGTATACTTATACGAAGAACAAAAATTAAAAATATTCATCATAAAGTTGGTGAATAAAACCAAAGTGGTATTTAATTAGACACGTAAAAAATATAAAGATGATAAATCGACTAAATTCTTTAGCCTTCCAAGTTAACGTTGCGGGTTCGGTTCCTATATACTCGATTGCAATAACTTTATGATCAATCAATAAAAATTAATAAATTCAAAAAATTATAAGCACGATGATATATGAATCTTATATAATTCAAATATGAACATAAAAATTGAAATAAACAATTTTGAAATAGTATAATTAAATTCAAAATATCAAAAACAAAAAAGAAGCTTCTTACATATTCAAGAATTTCAAATAAAACAATATAAACTTTACTTAAAATCATCGCATATTTCTAATTAGAAAATAATATTGATATAAATAATGTAAATTTGTAATTTAAATCATGACACATGTCACTATCTAAAATCATTAGAAATATGATATATTATAAATCTTATGTAATTTAAACTGAACGTAGAAACCAAAATAAATAATTTAAAGATGTGACAGTTGAACTAAAAATAAAAAATTATAAACACGATGATATAGAAACGAGCGTGGTGATTGATGGAGAAGCTGTTGCTGGACTAAGGTCACTCTCAACAGATTCGAATGGAAGGGAAGATGAAGATAGAAGTGAATAGATGGTGAAACTGTCGCTGGACTAAGGTCACTCTCAACAGATTCGATAGAGATGGAGATGGATAGTTGGATGGATCGAACTTCGCCACACAAAGATGCGGAATGAAATTGTGATAAGAACACAAATCAATATCTAAATGAATCGCACACAAAGATAAAGATTCCACTTGTTTTCTAAAGAAATCACACACAATAGAAAAAAACAAGTAAAACAAAAGCCTAAGCTTTTAAAAGTGAGAAACTCTCTCTTTATTTTTTTCCAAAAATCTATATATTTACAATGAAGGGAAACATGAGCTTATATAGGCTCAATTTACAAATCAATAACATAAGTACAAAATAAATCAAATTAATTACATGAATCAATCAAAAATAAATTTGAGAGATTTTATCAATCAACATTGATTGAGATTGGTTCTTTGTATCTAGACACTTTCTTGATATAGCCATGAATTGATTGTCTTCTAGAAACTTCTTTATAATTTGATCTTGATTTTCCTTGAACCAATCCTTGATGAGTCATGGATATTTCTAGGACTACATCACACGATGATATATGAATCTTTGATGATTTAAATATGAAAAGAGAAATTAAAATAAACAATCTAACTATACTACAATCATAATTGAGGACAAAAAAAAAAACAGTTAAGTAAAAAAATATTACAAAAAGGAAAAAAAAAAAATTGATCTCACATATTTCTAATTGAAAAAATAAACTCAAATAAATAACATGAGAATTAGTTTAATTAAATCATCACATATTTCTAATTGAAAAAGAAATTGAAATAAATAATATCAAATTTTAAATTAATATATAATAACATATGTTTTCTTTTTAATAAAATTGCCTGATATTTTTCTTGTTTAATTGAAACATAAAAAACGTATAATTTCCTTATTATTATCTTTTGACATTTTTTAAAGGGAGACTCACAAAAATGCCCCTTTTTTAATACCCCTTTTCAAAAATGCCCTCTTTGCCTGTCCATTTTTAAAAATACCCCTTTTTATGTACAAAATGACTAAATTACCCTTCTTTTAATAAAAGATATCACAAATATATAAGGAAATATAACAAAATTAGGTCAACAAAATACAAAATATTTTTTGGCGGGAAAAGTGATCCCGCAATTTTTCCCGCCAAAACTCTTGTAAAAACTTGTAAAACCTTTAAAATACCTTGTAAAATTTTCCCGTAAAACTTTTTCCCGCCAAAAAATTTTCCCGCCAAAAATTTTTTTTTGCGGGAAAAGTGATTCCGCAATTTTTTTGGCGGGAAAATTTTTCCCGCCAAAAATTTACAAGGTATTTTAAAGGTTTTTTACAAGGTATTTATAAGGTTTTACAATGTATTTTAAAAGGTTTTACAACGTATTTACAAGGTATTTATAAGATATTATAAGATTTTACAAGCTATTTTATAAGGTTTTTACAAGTTATAAGGTTTTACAAGTTTTTTATAAGGTTTTACAAGTTATAAATACCTTATAAAACCTTATAAGTACCTTGTAAAACCTTTTAAAATATATTGTAAAACCTTACAAAACACTTGTAAATACTCTGTAAAACCTTTAAAATACCTTGTAAATTTTTCACGCCAAAAAAATTTCGCAAAAAAAAATTGCGGAATCACTTTTCCAGCAAAAAAAATTTTTTGGCGGGAAAATTTTTTTGGCGGGATAAATTTTTACGGGAAAATTTTACAAGGTTTTTTAAAGGTTTTTACAAGTGTTTTGGCGGGAAAATTGCGGGATCACTTTTCCCGCCAAAAAATATTTTGTATTTTGTGGACCTAATTTTGTTTCAAATAAGGATAAAATGGTCATTAAAAATTAAAAGAGGGCAAACTTAAAAATGGACTCTCAAAAGGGGCATTTTTGAAAAGGGGTATTGAAAAATGGGCATTTTTAACAATTTCTCTTTTTTAAATTTGTTTATAGAAATATGAATTATTTACAATTATTCTTATAATTATCTTTTACATTTTTAAAATTATTTAAATTTGTAATTACTTTCAATTATCTTCTTTTTTTTATTTTAAAAAGAAAATTTTTGTTTTACACGTGTCAAAATCTAAGATCAATAGATTTGCCACGTGTCACGATCATATGAGTTATTAACTTTGAAAACCATACTTTATATAATAAGATATCAGTTTCTTTTTTTTGAAGCGTTAATTTCTTAATTATTAATTTTTTGTTGGCTATAGAATCAAATTTCCCAAATATCTTCCAGCCGAAAACTACACGCTCAGCAGCAAATCATATGATGTTCAAAGTCATTGGTCAATCGTCATTGACTTTAACCTTTTATTTTTATGAAGTTGATTTTAGACCTTTCGTGGCGATATTATGACCGCTTCCAGTCGTTGGTCAAATCCTTAGTCTGTCTTATTTCTAAATCAGTTTTCTAAACTACAAAAATAAAATTAAAAAGAAGAAGAAGAAGAAAAAGTGTTTCTCTATAATTAAACAGAGGGAAAGACCAATAAATAAGTGACTTGTAAGTCTTTTAAGTATTTTGTGTTATTTGTGTTCAGACGTTTCCTTGACTCTCCTATTTGATTTACGCAAAAAACAAAGTGTAGCAAAGGCCCCCCAGGGAAGTTGATATATTAGCTACTACTGAGAGGTACACGTTCGGTGGATACTGATTCATGGGTCAATTCTCAATTATGGAGTTAACCGCAAGTCAAAGATGCATGGTTTGATAGTTTCATGGACTCGTATAGTTAGTTATATTCGCATCTTACATTGAAGCTCTTTAAATATTGGGGAGCAAATCCTCTGTTTCTAACTAAAACTTAGGAAAAAAATGACAAGAAACGAGAGAAGCTGGTGGTGGGTTAAAGAGAAGAAGAAGATGGCTTTGTTGTTCATAACAATAACAATGATGTTCCAATGTTCCAACTCCAGACGAAAGGGTGTGTGGAAACTGAAAGGATGGGTTTGTTGCAACTCATGTCGTATCTCAACTCTCTTCTAATCCCCAAAGGAGAAATTTTTCTCAAGTCATGGAGTCATGATGATCGTAGCAGTGACTGCTGCCATTGGGAGAGAGTAAAATGCAGTGACGCTAGTCTTGGTGCGAACATCGTCCACCTTTCACTGAATCTGTTGCAAATTCAATCTCTAAATCTGTCTTTGCTCCATAGCTTCCCTCAACTGGACACTCTTGACTTGTCATCGAATTGGTGCGATCACTTGTTTGATCCCATCCATGGTACGTCCTTATCCCTTTAAATGTTTCACTTTATGTCCAAATTCCAATTTTCTTAAAAGTTCTGTTTTGTTTCAGGTTATAGGAGCCTTCAGAGACTGGAGAAGCTGAGGACCTTGGATTTCTCTGGAAATCGTTTCAACAATAGCGTTGTCCCTTTTCTAAGTGCAGCGATGTCTCTCAGAACTCTAAATTTTGGTAGCAATGAACTGAAAGGTGTCTTTCCTCCAAACGGTAATGATATCTTTTTTAACTTTCCATTTGATTTTATGCATAGACGTCAGAAGAATTTCATTAGAATAAGATTAAAGGAGCAGTTTTTCAGCCATCTTCTATTACTAGTGCATACATTTGCATGCATAGAATTTTCATATTAGCATAACTAACCCATCTTGGTCGGTTAGTGAAACAAAAGAGAAGCAGATTGTGATAAGGATTCTGAATACTGTTTGGTTTTCTGAATGTGTTCATTATTCTAGATTTGTCATGGAGCATGCAAAACATTATTTATTTATACATCTATTTTTAAAATTGCAGGTTTAGTGTTTCCTTCATCTTTACAAGTGTTGAATCTTAGAAGGAATCAATTGTCTTCGACCCCCAAAGGTGAAATATTACAAACCATTCATTATCTTTCTTATCTCCTAAGACTTTCTTCATGTGTTATATATAAGATCAACTTTTATCTTTTGACAAATTTCAGGCTACTCAGAGATCTGCAGACTAAAGTATCTCCAAGAGCTCGATTTAGGCAGCAATGCTTTGACAAGTATGCCTTACTGTCTGAGTAACCTAACCCGTCTTCGAACTCTTGATCTATCAGGCAACCAATTGAACGAAAACTTGTCTTCCTTTGTGTTTGGTCTACCACCAGCACTTGAGTACTTATCACTTCTTGATAATAACTTCAATGGTTCGTTCTCGTTCAATTCACTGGCCAATCACACAAGACTCACAGTTTTCAAATTGTCATCAAAAGTTGGTATGATCCAAGCTCAGAGTGAGAGCTCGTTGGTTCCACTGTTTCAGTTGAAGATTCTAACATTACATAATTTCAGTCTTGGCAACACAATTCCTGGTTTTCTTGTTCATCAACATGACTTAATCTTCATTGATATTTCTTATAGCCAGTTGACAGGAGCATTTCCAGCTTGGCTTTTGCAGAATAACGCAAGACTGCAGACTATTTTACTGAATAACAATTTGTTGACAGAGCTTCAGCTACCAAAGCTGGTTCATGGCTTACAAGTTCTCGATATCTCGAGTAATAAGATATTCGATTCCATTCAAGAAAATATAGGGATTTTCTTTCCACACCTGAGGTACATGAACTTTTCTTCAAACTATTTTCATGGAACCATTCCATCTTCTATGGGAATGATGAAAAGTCTACTAATGTTGGACATGTCATTTAACGATCTATGGGGTCAACTACCTAAAACATTTTTAAGTAGTTGCTACTCGTTGAAGTTTCTGAAGCTTTCCAACAACCAACTCAAGGGTGAGATATTTCCGGAGTATGCAGATCTTACTAGCTTAGCTTGGCTAGCTCTTGATAGCAACAATTTTAGTGAGAGTCTCGGAGAAGGTCTATTGAAGTCAAAGAATCTAACTCTTTTAGACATATCAGATAATAACGTTTCAGGCTCGCTCCCACTTTGGATTGATAGGATGTCAAGCCTTGAGTATCTATACATGAGGGGAAATCAGCTCAACGGTCATTTCCCTCGCCAGCTACAGAATCTAAAGCTTAAGGTTATAGACATCTCACATAATAGCTTCTTTGGTTCTCTACCAAGAAATGTTGAGTTTCCAATTCTGAGAGAGTTAAGACTACAGAACAATGAGTTTATTGGCTCAATTCCGGACGCTTTGTTCGAGGCTGAGCTACTGGAGGTGATTGATATGCGGAACAACAATTTTTCTGATATGGTTCTGAATAATGTTGCCAAGGCATCTAATTTAGGTGTTCTTCTTCTACGGAGTAACAGTTATGAAAGTCACATCCCTGAGAAACTATGTCAGCTAAGTGAAGTTGGTATCTTGGATTTATCTCAGAATAAATTCAAAGGTGTTATACCATCATGTTTCAGTAAAATGTCTTTTGGTGCAAAAAAGTATGACAGCAACATGTCATTTGATCCAGTGGAAGGCTTCTCACAAGTTTCATTCTCGCAAAGTTGGAGTTATACATCAGCTATCAACCTCGATGATGATTTCGCGTATGGTGCTCAACGGACACCAGCAATCATAGTGGATTTTCTAACGAAAAGAAGATATGAAGCATATCAAGGTGATATTCTGCGTTACATGTATGGGTTGGATTTGTCAAGCAACCAATTATCTGGTGAGATTCCAGTTGAGATTGGAAACCTTCAAAATATCGTATCGTTGAATTTGTCAAGCAACTACCTCACTGGCTCCATACCAGATAGCATTTCGAAGCTGAAGGATTTGGGGAGTCTTGATTTGTCCAACAATAAGCTAGATGGAAACATCCCTCCTGTGCTAGCCGACCTCAACAATTTAGGATTCTTCAATGTCTCATACAACAATTTGTCAGGTGAAATCCCTATCAAAGGCCATCTTCTAACCTTCCCGGAAAGGAGCTACATAGGCAATGCTCATCTCTGTGGACTTCCTACCAATAAAAGTTGCAACCCCGCGAGTGTCCCAGAGTCGAGTGCATCAAAGCAGGCCAAAGAGGAAGAGGAAGAGGGTGATGATGTGATAGACATGGTGTGGTTTTATTGGACTTGTGGTGCAGTCTACATTACCACAACCTTGGTCTTGTCAGCGTTTCTCTGCGTCGACTCACGCTGGTCCCGTGAATGGTTTTATCAGGTCGATCCCTTGGTTCGTTCTTTTGCAAGAAAATGAACAAAGAGATACAGAACACAGAATCTTTGTATAAGAAGAGGCAATGCCAATCCTTCCACTGCATTTTTTAGTTACCAAAACTCTTTTCCTCTTTGCTTCTTCTCTGCATAACTTGCTTATAGTCCACAAAAACAAAACACCTAACCACCAAAAACATTGTACTAGACCATCTCGGTAAGTGACAACCTTCAAAATATCGTATCGTTGAATTTGTCAAGCAACTACCTCACTGGCTCCATACCAGATAGCATTTCGAAGCTGAAGGATTTGGGGAGTCTTGATTTGTCCAACAATAAGCTAGATGGAAACATTAGCGAAGAGAAAAAGTTTAATCGGGTCAGAGCATTGGGTTGATGTAGAAGTACGGTATTCGTCACCCACATGATCGGAGAGCTAGACTAGACGGAAGGAGACAAATACGTCGGCGAAGCGAATGAGGAGACAAAAGGGAAATTGACCTGTCATCACGTGACTGTCACGTGCTCGAAAGGATATTTCCTTTTTGTTTTTGCGTCCAATTATATAAAAAGGAAATATTTGACCTTAATTTCCTTTTTGTTTTATTTTTAAAAGAAATTTCCTTTTCTTTCAGTCATAACCTTTCATTATAAATATACTAATCTCTTCTTAAGAATCGAAGTTGTCATTCGTCCAAGAGCAAAACCCTAACGTGCTCTTTCTTCTCCTTCTTTTTCTTCTTTTAAAAACTTGAGTTTCTTCTCGAGCAAGTTATGTCGATCGTAGCTAGCCGTCATGAATCTCGTTCTCGCTATTGGAATTATTCGTTGGGTTCGTATCTCTTCCGATTTTTCTCCGACTAAGTTTTAGTCAATAATCATTAGAGAGGGCAAGGAGATGTTTAAAGGTGAATCTGGGATTATAAGTTAGGGATTCAGGGTTACAGTGATGAAGTTGTGGCCGAGATATGAGAGAACACGACGGAAATTGACAACGATCGAGATGGAGGAAAATACTTCGTCGGAGATTATTCGTGATGATGTCACACCACACAACGGCTATTTTTGGATGATGTCATACAAGGGCTATTTTGGAATTTGGTTGAGTATGGAGAACAAAGAACTACGGTGAAGATTTCGTGAGATGACTTGAGAGAAGACGCCTTCGAGAGGTATTAGATAAGCAAAAGAGTCTCGCGTTACATCAATTTCAGGTGTATTTTTTTCCCCGTTGAAAATCAAAATTACGTTTTTTTTTTTTTTTCTACGGCTTTTTTCACTTGTTTTTTTTTTTGATTTAATTTGTTTTTTAAACTAGATTTACAAAACGATATGAAAACTAACCGGACTTTGGATCCTGTCATTTGACTTAGTCATTTGATCGTTAGCGATTTCACAAGTTCAATTTGTTTTCTAATCGTTATGTAAATTTAGCATTTTTGTTTTTTTTTTTTTAGTCTAGATTTACATAATGATATGAAAAATTAACCGGACTTTGGATCCCGTCATTTGACCTACTCATTTGATCGTTAGCGATTTCACAAGTTCAATTTGTTTTCTAATCGTTATGTAAACTTAGCATTTTTGTTTTTTTTGTTTTTTTTTTTGTTTTAGTCTAGATTTACATAATGATATGAAAAACTAACCGGACTTTGGATCCCGTCATTTGACCTAGTCATTTGATCGTTAGCGATTTCACAAGTTCAATTTGTTTTCTAATCGTTATGTAAATTTAGCATTTTTGTTTTTTGTTTTTGTTTTTTTTTGTTTTTTTTTTGTTTAGTCTAGATTTACAAAACGATATGAAAAACTAATCGGACTTTGGATCCCGTCATATGACCTAGTCATTTGATCGTTAGCGATTTCACAAGTTCAATTTGTTTTCTAATCGTTATGTAAATTTAGCATTTTTTTTTTTTTTTTTTTAGTCTAGATTTACATAATGATATGAAAAATTAACCGGACTTTGGATCTCATCATTTGACCTACTCATTTGATCGTTAGCGATTTCACAAGTTCAATTTGTTTTCTAATCGTTATGTAAACTTAGCATTTTTGTTTTTTTTTTTTTTTTTTTTGTTTAGTCTAGATTTACAAAACGATATGAAAAACTAATCGGACTTTGGATCCCGTCATATGACCTAGTCATTTGATCGTTAGCGATTTCACAAGTTCAATTTGTTTTCTAATCGTTATGTAAATTTAGCATTTTTGTTTTTTTTTTTTGTTTTTTTTTTTGTTTTAGTCTAGATTTACATAATGATATGAAAAATTAACCGGACTTTGGATCCCATCATTTGACATACTCATTTGATCGTTAGCGATTTCACAAGTTCAATTTGTTTTCTAATCGTTATGTAAATTTAGCAGTTTGTTTGCTTTTGTTTTTTTCTTGTTTTAGTCTAGATTTACATAATGATATGAAAAATTAACCGGACATTGGATCCCGTCATTTGACTTAGTCATTTGATCGTTAGCGATTTCACAAGTTCAATTTGTTTTCTAATCGTTATGCAAATTTAGCATTTTTGTTTTTTTTTGTTTTTTTGTTTTAGTTATTTACAAAACGATATGAAAAACTAACCGGACTTTGGATCCCGTCATTTGACCTAGTCATTTGATCGTTAGCGATTTCACAAGTTCAATTTGTTTTCTAATCGTTATGTAAATTTAGCATTTTTGTTTTTTTGTTTTTTTTTGTTTTTTTTTTGTTTTAGTCTAGATTTACATAATGATATGAAAAACTAACCGGACTTTGGATCCCGTCATTTGACCTAGTCATTTGATCGTTAGCGATTTCACAAGTTCAATTTGTTTTCTAATCGTTATGTATATTTATCATTTTTTTTTTGTTTTTGTTTTGTTTTAGACTAGAATTACAAAACGATATGAAAACTAACCGGACTTTGGATCCCGTCATTTGACCTAGTCATTTGATCGTTAGCGATTTCACAAGTTTAATTTGTTTTCTAATCGTTATGTAAATTTAGTATTTTTTTTGTTTTTTTTTGTTTTAGACTAGAATTACAAAACGATATGAAAAACTAACCGGATTTTGGATTCCGTCATTTGATCGTTAGCGATTTCACAAGTTCAATTTGTTTTTTAATCTTTATGTAAATTTAGCATTTTTTTTTTTTTGGACTTTGGATCCCGTCATTTGACCTAGTCTTTTGGTCGTTAGAGATTTCAAAAGTTTAATTTGTTTTCTCACCGCTATAGATTTTTTTTCTTCTCTATGGATTTCATATAAGTTTATTTTTTGGTATTTCGTTTTGATGAAAATGAAATTAAACTTGTAATCACGTCTCAAAGAAACAGAGCCCTTAACCTCCTTAAGAAGTCTTTTGAAATAAGAACAGAGTAGCTAGAAATACCAAACCCTGTGTGTGTTTTCATGTGTGTCATTAGCGACCTATTCAATGCTTTCATGAGATAAGCAACTATGGAACATTAACAAAAATACTTATATATTTTCATAAACCAAACATAAAAGCTTCATCTCAAAGACGAAACACCTTTAAACTTCTCAACATTTCACTTTCTTGAAGAGGAAGAATCTAACTCTTTAGTCATATCAGATAATAACGTTTCAGGCTCGCTCCCACTTTGGATTGATAGAATGTCAGGCCTTGAGTATCTTATTCTTAATTTTATTATTTCTTATATATTTTTTTCATACATGAGGGGAAATCAGCTCAACGGTCATTTGCACCCAGTTGACCCACACAATAAAATAATTATTTATTTTACCATTTCATTGAAAATGAGATCGAAGATACGAGTTTAAATGTTCATTTTTAATTTATAAATGCATCAGTACGTATTATTTATTTAAGGGTTTTATTGTTTACATAAATAGATGACAATACTTAAGAGAAAATGAGTAAATTAAAAATATTAAGTATCCCAAAACATGTTATCTTTTTCGTAACAATAATATTTTTATTTTTTTTAACCTCTCCGTCCTCCTCCACGCCTCCCTGGTGGATTGTGTCTGGCGTTGGCCGATGGCCCGTCGTAGTCGTTGGTGCTCACCATCAATGATCTACCTTTCACCATCATCATCTTTTCATTTTCTGTTATGCATGCAGTTTTAGCATATATAATTACGAAGTAAAACTTATCACAAACAAAAACTTAGATTATTATACGAAAGTTAAACCACGGTTGAATAAATGTTACGAAAGACTCTATCTCCCTCCACACATACATGTATCATGGATTAATCACCTATTTGACTAAATACGAGATAGATCTAAACCTGTTTATTAATATTATGATTGATCATTATAATCGAAGAGACTACCCCCATTAATCCAACGATATACTATATATTGTGGATTTGAAAATTTGGATGAAGAGTTTATACACAACTCCAAATTCATGATCTTTCTTGTATCTAGATGGGATGATGAGCTCGATTGCTCTTACCTGAAAATGAGAACGTGAGTCGAGCCGAAGAGACTACTGAAAGTACAAAGAAGATGCATAAACACAGCCGAATTACATAACAAAATCCCATCTTCTCTTTTCCTTCTCCTCTTTCTCTCTCTCTTTCCTCTATTCAAGTACTATATCTCTCGTGACCCTCTCCTTTTATAAACGTGAAATGTTAACCTCAGCTAGTTTTTTTTATAATAAAGATTAGTTAACCTTATTTCCAAACTACTGTAGTATATATTTCGGATAGTGCTACATAACCGGAATATTGCAATTTATTGTAATGGAAGCAACGCTGCAATTATCATTTTGAATGTCTAATCCAAATTCGAGCAAAATACATTTATGAGGAATTAGGGCACAACAAATTTTAAAACATTTTAATAAAAGGTTGGTGTAGAGACTTGCAAAGGCATGTGGTTTGGAATATTCTGATACAAGTCTATCTATTACAACCTCTTATGTCCCATATAAATATTGAACATATGTGTTTGATTGTTTCAATGCTTGTCCCTAAATAAATCATCAGCGTAAGTTTTCCTACAAATAAAACGCTTTTCTCAATGGCTAGCAACAATATCATTTTTCCTCTAAATATTTTTTGACTTCTCCCTTTTAGATCAATTGACTAAATAACAATTATTTAGATTATGATTGAATTAATTCGGCTATAAATTAGAGATCGAAATACAGAATCAGTTTCGAAATAAAGTAGCTGATTTTAACACGTGTCATTGTCGTATTGGAGGTAGGAGTTGACTATTGCAGACAAATTGTGGATTCCACACTGTTAAGTTAACAGTTAACACATAAGCAAAGCGAACATGCATGGGCAGTTGACTCACAGGCACCGTCCGATATAAAAAGTCAACGTCTATATTTCTGGCCCAAAAAAGGGATTTTGGGTGTGACGATCATGTGGGGTTTTTTTATGTAATGGATGATAACCTTTTTGTCGACGTTAGAGAGTCAGAGTTATTGCGTTATTTACAAAGTAGCTGAGGAACCATAGCATTATTCACAACCACTTAAGAGACATTAACCAACCATAGCAAAGTAACAAGGCGAACTAATCAACAAACCATAATCCTTTCTTTGAATCCATGTCTTAGATTTTTCAGTGGATAAAATTTCCTTAACACAAACAAGACAAGTACAGACACTTTCCTAGCAATAATAAAGATCAATAGCTGGAGCAACCAACGATCATCATCGTTTTTTGAATCCATATTTCTTACGCTCATAGAACAGATCAGTTTTCGCACTGCCAAGATTGACAATCTTAGGACAACCATCTCTATCTTTCTCCTGTTGTGTACACTCTTTGCAGTAGTAAGCATCTGAGATTCCTACTCCTCCACATATGACACACCGTCCTTGGAACGAACCATAGTTGCATTCATCGCAAATCCGAACCAGAGTACAAGGGCGGACATAGGAATCACATATGACGCATTTTCCATCGCATTTCTCGCACAATCGCCCAATAGCAATGCCAGGTTGTTTGCGGCACATGATCAAATCAGGATGATGCTTGGCCATGGCTTCTTATACACGATCTTGCTCCTCAATTAAGATTTCGACCTGCAATAAAATTAGTTAATAAAGTAAAGAAAACACTATTATGTTTCTCAGAGGAATTTCAACGAACACCTACCAGGCCGCAATCTTTTATTTTACACATCCACTCAAAACCGTATTTTATCAAGGCCAAATCTAGCTAATTCAATGCAACGACAGTAAATTCTTGAAATCCACTGCAAAGTGAACAAAGAACAATTCTTGAAGTAACAACGGAAACCAACAATTCGCTGAATCGAACACAAATCGATTTAAGTTTTAGTCTGCTCACCAAAAAGAAACAGAAAAGTAAACATAAATAAACAAGAGAAATCTGTTTGAGCTCAAAACACACAAAACGGAGCTGCGCAAAAGAATAAACATAGACACCGCAAAACCCTAATAATTCAGAGAAATAACAGAGAGCGAAATCTCAGAATCAGAAACATCTATCAGGCATAAATCGAAGTTAAAGAACAACAAAAGAAAAGAGAATCTAAACTAACCTCGACGGAGAAGACGTCAAAACTAGCGATCCCTGATCTCCGAGCGCCGCCGATACGAACAAGAGACGGCACTGGAAATAAAAAGAACCGGGTCGGGTTCTTGAATTACCGCAAAAATATCCAACCCATGTCGGTTCGACTAATATGGGCTATCTGGCTAAAGGCTTACTTAATGGGCTTTTTTATTTAGGTGTTAATTTTAGGCTTGGGCAAATAAACCGAATGTACCGAACCGAAACCGAAGAAAAAAAACCGAACCGAACCGAATCGAAAATTTAAAAATAACTGAATGGATAGTAAATTCTATAACCGAAATAACCGTAACCGAATCGGTACCGAACCGAAATATTTCGGGTAACCGAAATACCCGAAATACAATTATATTTTCAAAATAATTAGTTATTTATAGACCAAATAATCAAAAATAATTAAAAATATATAAAAATAGTAAAAATACTCGAAAATAACCAAAATATATCCAAAAATATCCGAAAATATTAAAAAAAAACCGAAATATCCTAAGCAAAATAACCGAATGGATACTAAATTTTAAAACCGAAAAAACCGGAACTGAACCGAAACCGAACCGAAATTTCAAAATATCCGAATGGATACTAAATTTTGAAACCGAAATAACCGATAACCGAACAGACCCAACCGATAACCGAACTGACCCAACCGATAACCGAACGGTTAACCGAAAGCCCAGGCCTAGTTAATTTTTCTCCTATTTTCGGCCTTCTTTGACTTTGTTTTATCTTTACAAAAACCATTTAAGCAAAAATATATTTTCTGGAAGAGTAACAACAAATCGCCGTTGACAAAGAAAAAGCAGAAAAAATGGACTGTGGCGGTGGCGGTGGATTCATGATTGAAATAGTCAAAGAGAAAGATGATAGTGGTAACGTTTGACCTGGAAGAAGAAGAAGCAAAGGCCACGGAGAAACAGAGAAGGACTTGTCTCTTATATATTCATGCCTCTTTCTTCTCTCTCGTTGACACTAAAACAGAGAAACACAAACGTCTAGAGGACATACAATCAGAACCAATCATCAAAAAAGTAAACTTTTAAGTTTTATACGAAACGATGTCGTTTTTAGTTGCCGTTTGCAACTCGCCGGTGTTCTCTCCGTCCTCGTCACTTTTCTGCAGCAAACCGCTGAACATTTCCCCGGCGCATGAAACCCTAACCCTGTCTCTTTCCCATCTCAATCCTCCCGTTTCTTCTCTTTCTCCCTCCTCCGCTGCGTCTCCCACATCTCCGTTCTGCCTCCGTCTCCCGAAACCACAGGCTAAACAAGGGTTTGGATCCGACCCTGGTCCCGGAGGCGTTCTTAAGAGGAAACGACCGATGAGGCTTGATATACCTGTGGCTCCGGTGGGCATTGCAGCTCCGATATCGGAAACGGCGGTGAATGCACAGACGCCGAGGGAGGAGAGTAGAGAGGTGGAGAGGGACGGTGATGGTTACTCGGTTTATTGCAAGAGAGGTAAAAGAGCAGCTATGGAAGATCGTTTCTCTGCCATCACAAATATTCAAGGAGAACCCAAAAAGGTAACTTCAATTTTTCTTATGTGATTATTGATTATTGCTTAATTAGTAGGAAATGCGATTTGAAGAGTAGTTATTGATTAGATAACTTGTACGAGTTACATAATTTCGAGTTCCACAGAAATGTTGTAAGAAAATTCAATGAAATATATGAACAAATTGTACGAGTAGTTATTGATTAGATAGATCCTAGTTTTTTTTTTTTTAACAAAATCATAAAAAATTGGGATTTCAAACATTGTTAGCTTTTTCTAATGGCAGGCAATATTCGGAGTCTATGATGGTCATGGAGGACCAATAGCGGCTGAGTTTGCGGCTAAGAACTTGTGTAATAACATTCTAGGAGAGATAGTTGGTGGGGGGAACGAGTCAAAGATTGAAGAAGCAGTTAAACGTGGTTATCTAGCGACTGATTCTGAGTTTCTCAAGGAAAAAGACGTTAAGGGCGGCTCGTGCTGTGTCACGGCTCTGATCAGCGACGGGAATCTTGTGGTTGCTAATGCTGGCGACTGCCGTGCTGTTTTGAGCTTTGGAGGATACGCGGAAGCCCTGACTTCTGACCACCGACCTTCGAGGGACGATGAACGAAACAGAATTGAGAGCTCGGTAAGAATTCTTGCAAAGGAAGTTACTGTTCGGTTTATCATGATTACATAGGTTCTGATTACGATAATGCTGCAGGGCGGTTATGTCGATACATTCAATAGTGTTTGGAGAATCCAAGGATCTTTAGCGGTATCTAGAGGAATAGGAGATGCTCATCTCAAACAATGGATAATATCTGAACCAGAGACAAAGATTCTACGAATCAATCCCCAACACGAGTTCTTGATCTTAGCATCAGACGGTCTATGGGACAAGGTTAGTAATCAGGAGGCAGTAGACATAGCTCGACCATTTTGCATAGGAACCGATCAAAAACGGAAGCCATTGTTAGCTTGCAAGAAGCTCGTTGACCTCTCTGTATCACGAGGCTCCTTGGACGATATTAGTGTGATGTTGGTTCCGTTGTGCCGCTTCTTCTGACCATAGGAGAAATGTACAGACAAGATAACAATCTAGACGTTAGAGTTTGAAGTCATTCTTACATTCTTTAATTCGTTTTTAACTTCATTTAGTTATTAGGATACTTTGTATATACATCTTAGATTGTCTCTACTTTCGCTGTCCATCTTCTATGTAATAACTCTATAAAGCTTGTATGTGAGTACGATACTACTCAATACAATATAGTACTATACTCTTTTCTAAGATAATGCAGGTCGAATTAAATGTGTAGTCTAGCTAGTGGTCTGTTTTAAAACTTCATAAAATTCTTGTTTTAAAAGTTTTTTACTTTTTTCGTTTATATAGACGCATTGTTAGCTAAAATTTTTGAAAGTTCACAAATATCTTAGCTATTAACTTAATCCTATATATACTGAAAAGTCTGAAAGCTTGTTTAGTACGGTATTAAGTACATGTTGCAATGTCATTGTTTAAGTTGTTTTCCAAGTGGATTCTCCTAGACATACAAGTTGGAAGATATGGTATCTATATATACATTTTTGGATCACAATTAGCAAATAAATCCTGAAGTTGAGAAGTATTTACAATGGCATGCCTTTAGCATTAACTATTTAGATTTGTTTTATTTAAGTAAAGATTTTTAAATGAAATTCATTTCTCATATATTTAGTAAAAGTTTCTACAAAATCTTTCCTTATTTATTTAAGTAAAGATTTTAAAATCAAATATGTTCTCAACAATTTACCAAAAATCTCTACACAATCTTTTTAAAAATCTCGACTTAGTTAACTTCTGATTTTTATCTGCAAAAAAGAAAAAAATTAATAGTAACGAGTGATGTAAAAATCGGGAATGTTGATATTACAATTTCTTCTACCTTTTTTTCATATAATGAAAATTGTTTTTTAGGGATACTCTCTCAAAACCTCTAAATAAAACAAAAGGTTTTAAAAGATAGCTTCTCTTTTGGCGGGTCGACACGCAAACCCGCAACTCTCTACGGGCTTATCCGCATGAACCTGCAACCCGTAGTGGATAAAAATATTATTTTAAAAATATAACAAATGATGTTTAATTTTACGGGACGGGGTTATATGGTGCAACGGATTTAGATCGATATTAATATTAAACAATATACTATGGATGAAATCTTAGAATTAAAAATCAAAATTTAATTATAAAATCAGAAATACTAAACAAAATAAACAATATTAACAAAACAAATACAACTTAAAATTTTGCTAAATAATTTTTTAGTTATAAAAAAAATCGATCCGCGGTGTACCGCGGGGTAAAATCTAGTGGGACCTAAAAATCTCTAAATAATATCTTGTTTTTTGGACATTTCTAGTAATTTATTCACACACACATAAAAGGTGAAAATAGTTGCCCTAAGAGGATATGGACGAACAAGTGATGGACCGTTCTAATAGCACTTCACGTTCGCGGAAGGTCAAAGCTTTGCCAGAGAAACAACAAACAAAGTAAAATATATAATTATTTGCGGCGGAATTGTTTTTCTTTTGGAAGGCGGAAGAAAGTTTTCCGTATTTTCGAATAATTCAAAGATATAAGAAAGACTAGTATATGCATAGACATTAGCAGGTTTAAGTTCAATTTATATCGGTTCTGTTTGCCAAATCCCAGTTTCAAAACACTAAATTGATACAGTATATGTTATGAAAACTTTGGTCTTCTTTTAGATGAATCTTTCTACCACCAAACCACTATAAATTATTTTGTTAGTAAAATAATTTTTAAGAAAAATACGATCGTAGTGATCTAGCGATTAACCATCCCAAGATTCCCCAACCAACCATCTTCTCAATTAAAAGTTGAAACCATTTCTTTTATTCTCTCCCTTCCATCTCCAACTCGATCTCCGTGATATCTTCGGATTAGACTATGTACATAGCTGATACAATGAGAGTATCAGGAGCCTATTAATTATTTTTTAATAGATCAGAGTATTAAGTTGGGCCTGATTAGTATCACTGAAGTAATATTTCTGATACCCAGTATCAGGTGACGTGGCGGCAGCTGATTCGTCTGGGAAACGCGTTTTTCCTTGAAAGTAGAGAAAATAAAATAAAATATGATGTACACCACGGGATGATTTATTTTTTAAAGTTAGTATATATAAATTTTTATAAATTGTATCTCCTTATAAAATATTTATGTATTATATGATGATTCAAAACAGTTAAAAACAAATCAAACAAAGATGATAGAAGAATCATAATTCTAAATCTTAATCAAATCTTCTAAATATCTAAATTATTAAATATGGAATATCCGGTGTATGAGTTGAGTTAAATATAATCCGACCCAAGAAATTTTTTATGACCAAAATTTAGAAACGGGTCGGATATCCCAATAACCCGAAAGCATTTTTACCCACCCGTCACCAAAATGACTGCAAAAATACTAGTATAGATATTACCTTTTGTAATCCTATGTTTTTGTATATTTATTTTTGATTTTGTAAATAATTTTTTTATGATACTTAAGCCGGTCTCGCAAATATATTTAGTAGAAGTATAATAAAAAATCTCAAACAATAAACAAACATTATAAATAATACTAAAAAATTCCTAATGATACTATATGGGTATACATGCTCTTACGTTTTTGAGTAAATTCTTGTGCTTCCTTCATGATCCTATGCGTGGAGGTTGATCAAGCACGTCAATATTCCCAACATGCGTGTACAGACAACCCGTTAATATGTCAAAGAACGTGAACCAACGGTTTCATGCCACGTAAGTTTCCAAATGGACCCCCATTTTTAAAATCCAACCCCTTTCGGCAACCCTTCCCTCATCTTTAACCCCTTTGACAACTCCGATAATTTATTCGGATATCCTCTACTTCGCGTATATATCCTGCTACTGTACACCCTCACCTTCTTTATGTTAATTGATTACGAATATAAATTAATTTATGTCCATTGCTTATGATTGGCTTAGACATGGTTTGGATTCATGAATCCTTGATAATGATTTGTACGTCGACTACCGTATATTCCATGTCTGATCATGTCAGGTCAACCACATAGAAACATACCAGAAAATAAGTCAACAATCAAGCGTTCCAAATCTATAGGCACGTTTTTGTTCATTTGTCTTCTCCACGATCGGTGATCCGAATCCGATCACTTAGTAAAGAGACCATTTTTTTAATGTTGAGGTTATAAAAACGAAAACGATTGCGTGAAGCGAGAGGGTGTGTGTGATTTTATCTTTGGTGAGTAAAATATTAACGGACAAGATCAAACCGCAACTTGATTGAGTCTTGTTGGATAAGGATTAAGGAGATAGGGCAAGTGCATTGTTACTTACAAACATCCCGAGAACTTCTCCAAGTGTCATTAGTGACATAAAACATTTTCTTCTAATCTCCAAAATGACCTTTTCTGATTTATTTGTTCTTTTTACAAAAACGACTAATCATTCCATCAAAGTAAAAAATTTACAAGGATTAAAAGTCTAGATATGAATACATGTGTATATATATATATATATTTATATTGTTAAAATCCAAACCGACCATCGAACATGGTAGAATTTGTTCAAAAATCTAATGATAGACTCGAAACTTTGTGTTGTACATGACATATCCACGTGGAAAATTTTACAAAGATGAGACTTTACAAATCGAAAAGACAAGTGTACAAGAATTGTCCATGTCAGAAACCAAAAAAAATTGCAACTTTATTTCACGTTCACATTTTCTGTTTCACAGCTCCAAAACACGCATATATATAGCTTCGTGTTGCACAAGTACGACATATGAAAGTTGGCACACATGGAGAAACAGAGTATCAGAAACATTTGTTCTTCTTCTTCTTCTTTAATGTCTTCTTCTTCTTGGGTTCGTGGTGCGTGTATCGGAAGAGGTTGTTTCGGTGCAGTTAGTACGGCGATCAGCAAAACCAACGGTGAAGTTTTTGCCGTGAAATCCGTGGATCTCACCACGTGTCTCCCCACCCAATCAGAGTCTCTCGAGAACGAAATCTCTGTCCTCTGTTCGCTCAAGCCTCACCCTTACATCGTGAAGTTTCTCGGCGACGGAGTCTCGAAAGAAGGAACGACGACGTTTAGGAATATCTACTTAGAGTATCTACCAGAAGGTGACGTGGCTAATTACACTGCTGGAGGAATTAACGACGAGACTCTGCTCCAGCGTTACACGGCGTGTCTTGTCTCTGCTCTCCACCACGTCCACTCTCATGGATTCGTTCACTGCGACGTCAAGGCGAGAAACGTCCTCGTCAGCCAAAGCTCCATGATCAAGCTAGCCGATTTCGGGTCGGCGTTCAGAATCCATACACCAACAGCACAGATCACGCCACGTGGAAGCCCGCTTTGGATGGCTCCGGAGGTGATCAGACGAGAGTACCAAGGTCCGGAGAGCGACGTCTGGTCTCTCGGCTGCACGATAATCGAGATTTTTACTGGGAAACCCGCTTGGGAAGACCATGGGATTATCGACTCGCTGAGTCGAATCGGTTTCTCCGACGAGTTACCAGTTTTCCCCTCGAAGCTGTCGGAAATCGGCCGTGACTTCCTAGAAAAGTGTCTAAAGAGAGACCCGAATCAGAGGTGGAGTTGCGATCAGCTTTTGCAGCATCCTTTTCTGTCTCAGTGTCACAACTCGTCTCCGGCTGAGTCATCCCCGCGTTGCGTACTTGACTGGGTCAACTCTGGGTTTGACTTAGAAGAAGAAGAGGAGGAAGTAGGAAGATCAGAATTCGAAGACGCGGCGATGGCAAGAATTTGTAATTTGGCGACGACCGGAGGGGCAATTTGGGAATCAGATTGTTGGGTGGAAGTCAGATGCCACTCTTCGGAAGAGGAAGGGACAAGAATGGAATATTCGGAATCCACAAGGGTAGTATCGGCATATAACACATCATCGGATCCGTACGATGACGTGCCGATAATTGACGTTTATGTGTCTCCGCCGGGAAACGGGGGATCGGCGGCGGCACTGCTTCCATATGAATTAGTGATGCTTTTACATTTATTAATGGAAATTACGGTTTATACTACATGTGTCTTTAGCAAAATTGTCCTCATTATGAATTGTTGTTATCAGTATCATCGTGATAATAATAACATTAAACTCGAAACGTTGTCTTTTAATCACAGCCTCAAGTTTTGTTTGTTTGCACATCCGACAAAACTATCTTTTACGCGGTAAGATGAGATCGAATGTAGTAACTCACGTTTATAGCCAAAATAGCTTTGGCTCAAAAAAGTTGTATTTTAATGTGAAAACAAAATATTAATGATATTATGGGCCATATAAATTATGGGTTTATATGGGCCATATATATTAGTTTCATAAGAAATCGGCCCATTACTAGCTTCAATTCAACGCGGTATAAGTCGTTCCGATTTCCTGTGTTGCGAAACCCCCAAATTCTCTCTCTCGCATACGCCGCACCGTAGCGAACAATTGAATTCACGAGGAAATCTCGGTAATACTATGGCGACCAACGAACCCGAGCACGAGCACAGAGACGAGGAAGAGGCCGGAGCTAACGAGGATGAGGACACCGGAGCTCAGGTCGCTCCGATCGTTAGGCTTGAGGAGGTTGCCGTCACTACCGGCGAGGAAGACGAAGACGCCGTCCTCGATCTGTAAGTGATCTTCTCAATCGGTCTCTACAGTTTTTGTGATCTAGATCAACTGGATCTGATCGGATTTATAGGGTTTAACTTTTTGGTGTGTTTGACTGAATTATTGTTTGTGAATCGAAAGGAAATCGAAGCTGTATCGGTTCGATAAGGATGCGAATCAGTGGAAAGAGAGAGGAGCTGGTACTGTGAAGCTCTTAAAGCATAAGAACACTGGGAAGATTCGTCTTGTTATGAGGCAATCGAAAACTTTGAAGATCTGTGCTAATCACTTCGGTAAACTTTTTGTTTAGAGTACTTTGTGTGGTTTTTGAGTTGCATCTGGATCTGTATTAGGTTACTGTACTGTTTACTTAATTTATCTTCCGATTCTGCATTTCTGCTATTTCTGCAGTTAAATCGGGCATGAGTGTTCAGGAGCACGTTGGGAATGAGAAGTCATGTGTGTGGCACGCTCGTGACTTTGCTGATGGTGAACTCAAGGATGAGCTTTTCTGTATCCGATTTGCTTCTATTGAGAGTGAGTATGATATTGAATTTTGCCCTTTTTTGCATTGTTAGGTTCGATATTATTCTAACAATTGTGATATCATTCATTGTACTTCTGGTTGTACTCATTTATTTATTTTATGTTGCTTGTGTTTTACCTTATTTAGTCTCATTAGATTTTGATAGATTCACGGCTTAGATTACTGAAGGATCTTGAACTTAGTATTGTTATATGGCTACTTGTGAATTGGAGGTTCTCAAAGCTTCCATCATAGGCTGTTTTGGTTCTGTTAATTGCTATCAGCTCGGCATACCTTATTGTGTTCAAGAATTGTCGAAATAAGTACTGCGGTTAGATTGTGCCATTACATTGTAAAGATATATTGATATTGAGGTGGTCAAGTATGTGTTTAGGCTGCAACTAATTTGATATGCCAACTTTATCTACTGTTTGTTTGTTTTTCATTTTGGGTGTATATTTCAGTGGTTTCTGAGCTGTTGATCCTATTAACCGAAAAGTTTTGTAGATCGGCCTGGGTAATCAAATCTTAATTTCCTTGTCAGATTGCAAAACATTTATGCAAAAGTTCAAGGAAGTTGCTGACTCTGAAGAAGAGAAAGAAGAGAGCAAAGATGCCTCTGACACTGCTGGTCTTCTTGAGAAATTGACTGTGGAAGAAACAAAAACAGAGGAGAAAACCGAAGCAAAAGCTGTGGAGACGGTGAAGACTGAAGTGAAAGCAGAAGAAAAGAAAGAGAGCGAGGCAGAGAAATCTGGTGAAGAAAAGAAAATTGAAGAAACTGGTCCCTCAACTTAAGAAGCATCAACATTTACGCTGCCAAATCCTGGCAAGGTAATTTAGCCTCAAAATGTTTTGATGCATCGAGAGTCTACCATTGTCTTGGCACAATCTATCTATACATGTTTTGTCGAGTCATATCAAGTGGTTGGGGGATCGCTTGGGGTCGGGTTTTGCTGAATGCTGAGTCGTTATGGGTCTATAGTTTTTGAGTCTAAAGCGTCGGGTGATATGAGAGATTCGGGAGAAAATATTTTTTCAAGTTGGTCATCTGAAAGAGTACATTGGTTTCATTGTTTTAAATTTTCTCATGGATCCTTTTTGGATGGTCTTATTTTGAGGATACAGATGTGTTTGTCCATGGACAAGAATCAGAAGTCTCCATTTTTTGTCTTTTGAAAATCCAATGCATGTGATTTTTTTAATCTTCAAGGTCATTGCCAATCTACTTGTGTAAGTCGATGCTAGTCTTGATGAAGATATTAAACAATATTCAGAGAATATAAATTCTTCAGTGTTATATAACGACACTGTACACGGAAAGAAAACCCGACATTGTACTATATACTGTGTTAAAATTACCAAATCATATTCAGTAAGACCATATTTTAATGCATAACAATGGATTACGAGTAGATTTATATTCTATTAAAATTCATGATTGTATAACAAATTTTTTTTGGATTTATACAAACATATAGGAATGACACCTTGTTTAAAACATAACAATAAATTGCTTGGATTTTAAATTTTATTTAAACTTATGATTGAATAATAACCCCTAAACTGGATAAATTCAACCATATCACTAATTTTTTTCAAAATTCATATGGAAGAACAAAAAAAAAAATTATTCACTAAAAAAATGACAGGTTACTTATACTTTTAATATATGTAAACCCTAAAAAGAAGAAAATATTTTCTGTTTTCAGTACTTTTGTAGGATTCCACTTTTGTATGTGTCTTCATATCTAAACTTTATGCTTTTGATAAAACTGCAATAAGTTGGTTTGAGTTGAAACTTTATTAAACACATTAAGATTTTAATCTATTTTAACAATTTTTTTTTTTAATAAATAAGAACATGTTTTTTCTAAGATATTTCCTGATAATATCTAGGGAATATAATATTTCAAAAGATTCAAATTCTAAAAATCAAGATTGGTAGACATATGAAAGTTGTCACCAATAACTTCTCTTTGCTCTGACCCCGTCAGTCAACTTGTACACGCGGCCAAACCTTTTTTATCTATTTTTTATAATCGGGCTATTTATTATGTCCTTCATTTTTTTCTTTTTGCTATCTAAAAATTAACAAAATACCACTTAAGTGATTTTTTCAATCATACCCAAAAATTAACAAAATACCAGAAATGAATTTAGATGGATTATTATTTTTAATCCACGACATCTGGAAACACTTTTATCCCAATTAACCCTTTTGTAAAATCACTATTATTCTTGAATTTTATTTGTTTGGTCCTTCATAAAAAATATAAATATAGATAAGTATAAATCTTTATTGGATATTTTCGTGGCAGCATCATAATGAGAGACTACGTCGAAACTGCTGGTAACCACTTTTGCCGCGTTTAATTTCTTTCATGAGGCTTATATAAATAGATCAAAGCGGAAAGTGAGATAAATACACAGAAACAAAAGAAAAGATAAAGAAAATGGGTTTGAGAACAACATGGTTGGTTTTGTACATTCTCTTCATCTTTCATCTTCAGCACAATCTTACTTCCGTGAGCTCACGACCTTCCTCAGTAGATACAAACCACGAGGCTCTCCCTTTTAGTGTTTCAAAGCCAGACGTTGTTGTTTTCGAAGGAAAGGCTCGGGAATTAGCTGTCGTTATCAAAAGAGGAGGAGGTGGAGGACGCGGAGGCGGTGGAGCACGAAGCGGCGGTAGCAGCAGGAGAGGAGGAGGTGGCAGCAGTAGCAGCCGCAGCCGTGACTGGCAACGTGGTGGAGGAGTGATTCCGATTCATACGGGTGGTGGATCGGCAGGATCACATAGATCAAGCGGCAGCAGGAATCTTCGAGGAACAGTGTGTGCGTTCGGTTGGTTGGCTTTATCGGTTTTAGCTGGTTTAGTCTTGGTTCAGTAGGGTTCAGAGTAATCGTTGGCCATTTATTTTATTTTTGGTTTTATAACGGTTATGTTTATGGTCCGGTCTGGTTTGGTCTATTATTTTTTTGGGCTAACGGTACGTGAGGTGTAAATTGTTAATATATGTAGAAAGCGATTCTTGATGTGGATTCTACTCGTCGTTAGTGCGAATTATTTTAGTGTTTCAATTTTTTTTAAAAAAAATTATTTTAGTGTGCCGTCTGTAATGTGAAAGTTAAAGAAATAAGAAATTGTTTATTTTTCATTCAGAAAAAAAGAAATTGTGTATTTTAAAACTCAATCTTAAACGCTTAAATAACTTCTAAACGCTAACTTGTTAAAAGTGACTAATGGATGGTAAAACTTCCCGTTTAATTATCTTTTTTTTTGAAAATTTTTGAAAAAAATTGAAATAAATATCAAAATAATAAAGCCGCAAAGTAAGTTCCACAAAGTTTTTGCGTACGAAATATTACAAAAAACTTAAACAGTTATTAACTTATTATACTAAGAAACTATAGTTTTTGTTGTTTCCAGTACCAACATATGCATTGTCTAGTTTTATCTTCTTACTTGGTGGTTCAGTTTTGGACTCTTATGTTATTGTTTGATGCAACAATTATTTGAGGCTATTTCTCTTTCTTCTTCAGCCTCTTAATCGCATCCATTACTTCTCAGTTTACCTGTGGGTTTTGGAGAAATTCAGAAAGGTCAGTAATGCAACAAGGGCATGTCATGATGTTTAATTTACCTTGTAAAACAAGAAGAAAATAATCTCACATTCAAAGGTGTGATTTGGACTTGGAGTGCCATCTTGGTCAATTTATGTTCGAAGTATTTAGCATCATTAGATCATGTAGTAAGTTAGAGTGGGAAGGCAAAGTTATAAAGTTAAATTGTCGTATGCCACTAAACGATATTCATTGATATACTAAAAAAATTGACATTAATTGTTAAAGAATTGATAAAATTTGTAATGCAACAAGTACTGTAATTGAGAAGAAAAAAATCATAAAAAGGGTATATATCCACTAAAAGTTTTTACTTTTATAAGAAAAAAGCCAAGAATTTTTGAAAAATAAAAATAGAAAGCTAGAAAATGATTGATAATAAAACCTAGATTTTCTTTAGAAATATATTAAAGAGGCCCAAAAATTTTATCGTGTTTATTAATTCATATAAGTTTTACTGTATTTAAGCAAATGATGAATCCAAAGCTTATTTGCAATGAACCATATATGTGAATAGTACAAAAACAAAATAGTAATCAGCTTGTGATCTATGATTTTTGAAAAGAAAAACAAAACAAAATAGGTATATAATACAGAGGAAATTGTCAATTTAAGTTTCAATACAGAGGAAGAAACTGTGATTATGTGTAAGGCTTAGAAAAAGGCACTTGCAATTGGTTGTTGCGTCATGAGTTACGTCTGACTTTAGATTTCAAAGTTGATTAACTTACAACAAAAAAAGAAGAAGAGCTGATTAACTTAGAATACGATAACAACTTTGACCGAGCCTTAAACACTCCAACCAGTGCAAGATCTCCGCGTTCGGGTCTCTCTCGACCACCACCACAGTTGCCGTGATCTGCATCACTCCTCTGTACGAGCCGACGCGGCCGCGAACGCGAGCCACAGATCCGATTCTGATCTCTGCGGCTTGTTTCCGCGCGGCACTTGCGAGCAGCAGAATTGTGTCTGGATGCCACCGGGAGAAGTAAGAAGACGTGAGTTGGTTGAGCCACAGGACGCACGTGACGCAGCCGGTGCCATCGTCGACGCCGAACTTGAGGAACTTAGGGGTCAGGTCACGAGAGATGATTGTGCCTACTGTCTCTACGCGTGAGACACACGCGCCGCCAAGTAGGGAGAAAGAGTTGGATTCTGTAGGTGACTGTGTCAGGCGTTGGATGTCACGCGCCACGAGTTTCGCGTGTGTGTTTTGGAGGGATCGATCCATGGCTGGAACTGGTGAGAAGACAAAAGATGAACATTAACATAACAATGAATATTAGGGCGGGAAAACGAAGTTCTAGAAAGCTATATTGTGGCCAAATGATATTCAGAAACTGGAATTAATTGCTGATTTTCTAAAAATAAAAATCATAAAAATGATGTTGAAACATATTTCTATAACTTTACTGTTGTGCATATTCAGATTAAACTTTTATTCATTTTGTGGTAGAGTAGTCGTTTTCTATGGAGGATTGTTAATTTCCGGAACCAATTGATTAATGGAATCTATCAGGGTTCAATTTTTCTCTTTTTAAGGTTTGGACATCAACGTTATTAGGTACTTACTTTACCTTCTCAAGAATTAGAAAGAAGCTAGTAAAGAAACCATCGCATGATAAATGACGATTTTAAGTCCTCACTACATGATGCAGACCAGAAAATTTCCAATGTATCTGACAGACTCACTTAACAAAATGATCTTAAGAAACAAAAAGACAAAACATAACTCGTTTTTACTTTTGCTTTGACGACACAAAAAGGTTTGGTTTTCTAGAATCGCGTAAAACAAAAAGATGAAAGCAAGAAAAAAAAAAGAAAAAAAGTAGGAGAAACTATTGAATGGTGCGATGTCATTTTCGAGTCTAACTTTGCTTCAGATGCAAAGAATGGTATAGTCACACAATAAATGCCTCCAATGTGTAACTTTGTTATGTAAATATGACAAAAGAGAAATGTAGTTTTGTATAAACGAGTGAACTCAATTTATTAAATTAGAGAGAATTTAGAGCGAAAGCTTAGTCTATGACGATACCAAGAAATGAATTATGAAAAGGCGATTTAAAAACACCCATACGTGTACGTACGACGTGGACTATAAGTGGGTGAGAGACTGAGACACGAAACTTCATGAACAAATGACAAATACTTGAGACACAAGTCACACAGGTACCTAATGGCTCGTTTCCTTGCGGACTAAAGCTAATGAAGCTTCAACATAATATATTAGCTTATCTATCTTTGCTTCTCATGTGATTAGGAAGGCTAAGTTATGTATTTGCTTACCTGTGACTTATTTGCGGACCCAGAGGATCTTCAAACTTAATCTGCAATTTACAAAAAGAGCAAAATTTATAAAAAAGGAATTGAGCATCAAAGCTTTGATGACTAATCTTGAATATAATCATTCAAGATGCTTACCTTAGTTTCCAACACAAAAGAGCTTAGACCGTAAACTCGCAGTATTCCAGGTTCGATTCCAGTTCAGTCTAACAGTACACTTGTAATTTCCAACTAACCACACGCAAAAGTGAACATCAAAGGTTTAGGTGAGTCTATGATGCTTCTTTGGGAAGTAATTTAAAGGCATGTGATAAAAAGGAGAAAAATTGCCCCCCTAAGAAAAGCAAACTCAATCCCACATCTACTACAACAAGGGGGATATACAGACATGTTACCTAATGGAGAAGATGATTCGGATCTCATGCGTCTGGTGAAGGAGCTTCAAGCCTCTCTAGTGAGGAACGATAAGCTGGAGAAGGACAATCATGAGCTGCGTCAAGAAGTTGCCCGTCTAAGAGCACACGTAAGCAATCTTAAAGCACATGACAATGAGAGGAAATCAGTGTTATGGAAGAAGTTGCAGAGCTCATATGATGGCAGCAACACAGACGGATCTAATCTGAAAGCGCCAGAGAGTGTCAAATCCAACACAAAGGGTCAAGAGATAAGGAATCCAAACCCCAAGCCAATGGTCCAAGAACAGCCTACAGCGATAAAGCCGCCGCCACCTCCACCACTTCCATCAAAGACAACACTTGGAAAAAGATCTGTGCGGCGTGCTCCTGAAGTTGTAGAGCTTTATCGTGCCCTGACGAAGAGAGAGTCTCGTGTGGGGAACAAGATCAATCAAAATGGAGTTTTGTCACCTGCATTCAGCAGAAACATGATTGGTGAAATCGAGAATCGCTCCAAATATCTTTCAGATGTAAGTACTGTACAGTATTAACTTTACCCATCATAACTTAGAAGAGGTGATTAAATGAGAAACCATATGGATTTAATGTCCATCACAACCTAGGTCCTAGAGTTTAGGTGCAGAGTTTTTACTAAACAATTAGAAAAACTGTAGTAACAGATTTAACATCTCCTAACGGTGTTTGCACATTTGCAGATTAAATCTGACACTGACAGACACAGAGATCATATCCATATCTTGATTAGTAAGGTGGAGGGTGCAACATTTACAGACATATCAGAAGTGGAGACATTTGTGAAATGGATAGACGAAGAACTATCTTCCTTGGTTGATGAAAGGGCAGTCCTAAAGCATTTCCCTAAATGGCCAGAACGCAAAGCAGATTACCTAAGAGAGGCTGCTTGCAATTACAAAAGGCTAAAGAACCTTGAAATTGAGATTTTGTCATTCAAGGACAATCCAAAGGAATCTCTGACGCAAGCCTTGCAAAGGATTCAATCGCTGCAAGACAGGTGAGTATGTATAAAGAATATAACTAGTAGCAACTTCCTGATCTTAACCAATTACAAGAATTAATCTCACATTTTCAGGTTAGAGGAAAATGTTAACAACACAGAGAAGATGAGAGACAGTACAGGGAAGAGATACAAGGACTTTCAGATACCGTGGGAGTGGATGCTCGACACAGGACTGATTGGACAGGTAGGTGACTGATAGCTGCAATATACCAATAAAATCTGATCTATTGATTAAGATTGAAAAAGAACACTACTAACAATTTATGAACTATTGTACACTATTACTACTAAGTACTAACAAGACACCATTGGTTACACAAAAAGACTATGAAATCTAAAGATTCCATCTATCATACAAGGAATCAGCCATTTTACCAACTTCAAGAAATGTTACCTAGTATTAAACCAGTGAAGAAAATTTGCTTAGACTTACAGCCACCACTACTTTGACAGAAGATTTGAGGAACCATTACCTTGTTGCAGCTAAAATACAGGTCGCTGAGGCTAGCTCAGGAGTACATGAAGCGAATAAGCAACGAGCTGGAATCAAATGGAGGCGCTAAAGAAGGAAATCTTATGCTTCAAGGGGTTCGATTTGCCTACACAATACACCAGGTGCATAAATTCACATCTATTTGGTTCATATCTATTTGGTTCTTTCCTAACATAAGTTCAATTCAGTTTGCTGGCGGTTTTGACGGAGAAACATTAGGCATATTTCACGAGCTAAAGAATATCAGTACAAGTGAAACCAGATGATAAGGATGTAATTGTTGACATCTTTAAGTATCAAAGACTTGTGAAATTATGACGCAGTAGACATGTAAGAAACTGGAGGACTAAATTATTGTACTATTGAAGCCTTGTTTGCTTTAGCAGATATTTTATTGTCTAAATATCTTGTTCATCCCAAATTTCCAAAGCAATTAGCCAACTAACACAGAAACAAAGCCCACACTCAAATCCAGAAATTGAAACTTGAAGATACTAATACTAAAACACCTCTGGAGTCATAGTTATTTTTAAGATATTGAAGCATATACAGTATATTAACATCTATCAAACACATTATCCAATATCACAATCAATTTTAATTTTGAGGCTAGAAGTCAACCAAACAGACACCAAGTCTCAATCCGACGGAAAACTTCAGGCGAAAACGAAAAAAAAAACAAAAAAAACAGAGAAGCGAAAGAGCAAACCTCGGGATTCCAGTTTCTTCGGCAGTTTCGAGTTTTTACTCACCACCATCGGTTTTGTAATTTGAGTTTATCGAAATTCTTGGCGCTTAAAAACCAAAAAAGAGAAGAAATTAATGGCGCTCAAAAGACAATTGAGAGGATCTTCTGAACTCTGAAGGAGAGTGCCAAGGCTCTATTTCAAGACCGACCAATAAGCTCTCTCACCAGTCGGCAACATAGGCCCAATAAGCAACAAACAAGCCCAGCCCAAAATGAACCTAAAGGCCAAACCAAGTAACCAACCACCACGTATTTTGCTCTTATCCGGTTATCCCAAGAACAACCGAAATTTTTCGGAAAAAGGAAAAAGAAAAAAAAAAGCTGCGGAGCAAGCGGCTTCGCTTCTTCTCTTTCTCTCAAATCTCTTATCCGTTTGATTTCATCATCTGTTACGCATCTTTTTCTTCTTCATTAATTCAAATAAAATAAAAAAAGTACGGAAAAAAGAGAATCGAGACGGTGGTTTCGATGGGGTCGGGTGCATCGAAGAATACTGAGGAAGATGACGATGGTTCCAATGGCGGTGGTGGTCAGCTCTACGTTTCACTCAAAATGGAAAACTCTAAGGTTGAAGGCGAGCTCACTCCTCATGTCTATGGCTCTCTTCCTCTCATCGGTTCCTGGGATCCTTCCAAAGCTGTGAGCATCGGTTTGATTTTTTTTTTTTTTTTTTTTGTTTATCATCTTCTTCGTCTTTCCTTCCGATTCATCCATCTAGAATTTGATTGCGTTTCTGCTTCGTCGTTTTGTCAATTTTTCTTTAACAGCTTCCGATGCAACGTGAATCGGCGTCAATGTCGGAAATAAGCTTCGTTGTTCCTCCTGATCACGGTATTACTCAATTTGGAGGACTCGTTTAGCATATTAGTTCAAATCCAATGATTTCTGTGAACTACAATCTAAGCTTCTGCATCGCCTTTTTTGTTGTGTAGAGACTTTGGATTTCAAGTTTTTGTTGAAGCCAAAGCACAGAAACACGCCTTGCATAGTGGAGGAGGGCCAAAATAGGCTTCTTACTGGTGGTTCGTTGCAAGGAGATGCTAGATTAGCTCTGTTTAGGCTGGAAGGTGATGTGATTGTTGAATTCCGTGTCTTCATCAACGCTGACAGAGTTTCTCCATTTGATCTTGCTACTAGTTGGAGAGCTTATAGGGAGAATCTCCAGCCTTCTACTGTACGTGGAATTCCTGATGTCAGCATTAATCCTGATCCCAAAACTGTTGAGGTATTTTGTTCTTCTACTTCTTTGTTCTTACCGCGATTCTATCTATCAGTGATGTGCTGGTTATGTCAACTAAATCAGCAGGAATGATTTTATGTGCTTCCCTTTTATGCGTAATTTCAAAAAATTTGACTGCAACTCGCGATATCAATCTAGAATTCCCATGGGGAGAAATAAATTTGTTGGCCAATCCTGAAAGTGAAAATTTACTTTGATGTCTCATAGCAGTGTCCTTTAGAAAGTTTGGAGCTCGATCTTGCGCATTATGAAGTTCCTGCTCCTGCATCTTCTGCAAACTCGTACCTTGTTTATGCAGCGGACAATGCAGAGAATCCACGATCTCTTTCAGCATCTGGTTCATTTCGTAATGACAGTACTACAAACTCGGCACAGAATAATTCTGAAGATTCTGGTGTTACGGTTGGATCTCCACTTGCAAAGGTAGTGCTTTGTTTAGTTGCGTGATAGATGCAGATCCTCCATTAATTAACTTCCGGCTTCTCGTTTAATCATCGGCATACATCTCACCCATAGGAAATGAAGATCATTGTTCCCGATTCCTCGAATATCTATTCGGCTTCAGGAGAGGCTGAGTCAAAGTCAGTGGAAACACTCTCACCGTTTCAGCAGAAAGATGGTCAAAAGGGACTCTTTGTTGATCGTGGTGTTGGCTCCCCTAGGCTAGTCAAGTCTATTAGCGCAAGCTCTTTTTTGGTTGATACTAAGCAAACCAAGGTTTGGCCTGAGCTAGTTTCTATCTTTAAGTTGGGTCATCTGAAATTTAAGAATTTTTTATATTGTTCTCACCCTTTTATTTGTTAGAATTCAATGCCAGCCGCTGCAGGAGCTGTTGCCGCAGCAGCGGTAGCTGATCAAATGCTTGGACCGAAAGAAGATAGACATCTAGCAATTGTCCTGGTATTATGTTTTCTAGTTTAATTGTTAGGAGCTGGGCGTTGTTGTGGCTGGCTATTTTATTTAACTTATAAACGTAAATGGGAATGAAAAGAAAAAGAGACTGGATGTTCTGATTCACACCATTCCCGTCAAAATTGTATTAGGTTGGCTTGCCAGCTCGAGGAAAGACTTTTACTGCAGCAAAGTTGACAAGATATCTACGCTGGTTGGGACATGATACGAAACATTTTAATGTTGGAAAGGTTAGCTATTTTGTTGCAACGATCATTGATTTTTTTTTTAGCGTACCCTGTCATTACGCAAGCCTTGTTGGAAAGATTGACACAAACATTGCTCCGTTTCTTCGCAGTACCGACGGCTTAAACATGGAGTTAACATGGTAAGGCTTGGGTTCTTAAACCGAGGTTTTATAAGTTTCTGTCCTCCTTTTGGACGATTTGTGATTGACAACGAATGAGCCTTTTGTAGAGTGCTGATTTCTTCCGAGCTGACAATCCTGAAGGTGTAGAGGCACGGACTGAGGTAAATGAAAAATTGAATAATTTAGTTAAGCCATTTTTCGACTGTCTCTTTTAAGTTGTGTGTCTAAATCGTTCTTATGATATTTTAACTTAAATTCGTCATATTTTAATTCAGTGGTCAATGTTAACACTG